GCAGCCCTAACTTGTTAGACAAACCTTTGAAAGGCTTCATAGTGAACCCTGCCGACCTTCCTTAATAGTGGGTCAAGAGGTTGGCCGCCTTGAGCGAAAGGGTAAATCCTGGCTTATGGTGAAGGTGTACAACCTCTGCTGAGTGTAAAACTGGTATACCAGCCGTGTTCACGATCACGAGCGGCCTTGGAACTCTTACGGATTAGATGATCACTATTGATTAATTGTTTATGCTATTCATTATTCTTGTTTACCTGATCATGTGTTTATATGGGCTTGTGATAAACTTGTTGCTACAAGAATACACAAGAAGAAATGATATGGTACAACTGCATAAATACTTACCACATATGCCATATATATCCACCACTATAAATCATAACACTTACCTCCTAATGATAGACAAATGACAAAAGATTCAACAATGGAACATATATAAATTACTTTAAAGGATAAGTGATTTCATAGTTAGTTATATCATCTTGTTTTCATTCATGTTATGACAGAGTGTAGGTACAATAAATAACATGTCAAACGGTAGCGAACCACCGCTATGTTTAGTTGCCTTCATTGAAGATCAAGCATGTTTGATAAGAATGATCCGTAAGCACATCACCTATTTTAGAACAATGAACTCAGCACAAATACTCCAAATATCGCTCATAAACAATATATGAAGCATTTCTATGTTCAAACCAACAACCGACAAAAACAGCCCCACTTGACCCCGATAAAACAGCAGCAGTGCTGTTTGTGATTTTTGTATCTTTAAAACCATAATAGCAATGATAGCAAGTAAATACTCCACAAGAATCTACACAGAACAATCTACAATTTTGGTATTCAAACAAAGTTCAAATTATGTCATCTACTATTTTTCAAAAAGCCTACAAACTGACAGACATGTTCTGTCTTTAATAGCAAAGACATTTTTAAACAAAAACGGTATCTCCCAAACCATCCAACCAAAACTTCTGAAATTATAGTATAACATAGAAAAGTCTATTCTCTATGACTTTCGTATAATGAAGATTTGCAGTAGAAGCATCTAACACAACGTAGTTAAGCTCTGGACTTCACTGAATGTTTCTGAAAGTAAAACAGGACAGCCAATTTCAAAAATTCGTATCTGGAGTTATACTTAACCAAAAATTATCTTCTTTACCATTCTAGAAATCTTATCAAATTGCACAACTTATGTTCACATATAAATCATCAATTCAGCAAGTAAGAGGGTGTAAAAGGCGTTAGATCTAAACTGCTCTAAATTTTTGATAGACGAATTCAGAATCTCGTATCTCCTAAATCATTTGGCCTAAAATCTTGAACTTGGACTTCGTGGAAAGATCTCGGAGTCCTCTGTAACTTTTAAGTTCAATTGAAAACATAATTCGGCCTCTAAGATATCCAAAACTGTCAAACAATATAAACTGCCAGATCTAAGAAATGCAGAAAAACATGGATTCATGGTCTAACACTGAAACTTCAACCCTAATCCTTTCCCCATCCTTTTCTTTTCCCGCACGGCCCGCTTCCCTTCCCTCGGCCTGCCTCTGTTCCTCCGCGCACCCAGCCTAGCTCTGCTTCCCGCTTCCGCAGCCTAGCGCCGCGTCGACGCTCTCCCCCTCTCTCCCGCGCAGTCACCAACAGGTGGGCCATCCCTGTCAGCTATATCTCCCACCTCCCGTCGCTGCGCCGGACTCCACTGCTGCCGCTGAGAGTCCAAGGCCACCCCGCGTCGTTGCCTTGCGCCTTAAGTAGCTGACCTCATAAATATCGAGCAGCGCCGCGCCGCTTCCCTATCCAGTTCTAAGCGGCAGACGCCTCGCCGAGCCGACCCAATGCCACCAAACCCTAGCTGTCGTCCGTCGCTGGCACCGCCGAGCATCGCGCCTCTTCCGTACCTCCACCGTCGACGCTAACCTCCGTGGTGAGTTCGCAGTCTTGCTCTCTTTCTCCCCGTGCTATTCCCATCGCGAACCGAGGCCTGAAACGCCGTTTGGCGAAGCTCCGGTGAGGTCTAGCCATGCGCCACCGTCTTCTCTCTCTATTCCGACCGGTGTGCACCCTCTCTCTCCCTTGCTTCTGTTCTCAGCCGTCCAAATTAGATCCGACGGTCGAGATTGCATGATACCCTTTCAGCTTAGCACATTTGCTAAAGAGTCCCTCGAGTTTTTTAATATACAACTCATAGTCTATGGCGCACTTCTAGAATACGTTTTCCTATTCTGAAAGCATAGTTACTTTCTAGTAGATTTAGAATACGTTTTCTCTTTGAGAAAGAGGAAAATCCCTCTGTTAGATTCAGAATACGTCTTCCTTTTTTGAAAACATAGTTTCTTCGGTTAGATCCAAAATACGCTTTCATCTATTTACAGTTTTGCCACTAGTTTTATTTAGGCCATAAAATCTTCGTTTTAACTCTGTTTTGATCCATTCAAGTTGCGTTAGATTCGTAATTGAGTAATCTACATGTTCATCCTACTATTAAATATATTTTCAACTTTTGAAATTCGAGGTTAGATTTAATCTATTATTTTATTAAAAGAAATCTTGTTTAATTCATAACTTTTTCGTGATAGCTTCTATTAGAGTGCTTTTCGTGTCTGTGTTTGTAGCGAGACGTAGATTCGTTTTACAAACTTTTCATCTTGATTTTATGTTTGGTGTACTGTTCTAATTTAGATCTATTGCTTACTTCATGTATGATTGCATAGATGCTTGTGTGGTGTTCTATGATCATGTCCAGTTGGTGAGCTTTACGTGTTGATCAAGAAGGAGTTCCATTGAAGGTTTGGGCTAGAAGAAGGATCTAAGTTTAAGACAAGTGCTATTCACTTTAATACATTAAATTCATGTTAGATGTGTCTCCTTGATAGGGATTCCCTAGAATTGAACATATACCTTGTCACCTACGGGATATGCATTGGGTAGTATGATGCTAGTGCTCAACTAAAGCCATGATCTTGTAACTTGATTAATGGTATATGCAATAAACATTAAAAGATGTTTTTAGCAACATGGAACAAGGGGGCTAGAGCATTAGGGTGTTTTTATGGTGCTCTAGATTCCTCTTCCTAAGGACTTATCTGTAAGTGATTATCCGGGACTTACAGTACAGCTGTGAGGGCTACATGGCTCTGGCTTTAGCTCAGTTTGAGGACCTTTTCTAGCTTGTTAGTTGTTACCTTTATGTCACAAGAGGGGATCCGACAGGTATGATCTCGGCCTGCCAAGAGGGTGCACTTTGGTTTCTTGATATTTTGTTAGTCACTCATTGGAGGGGGGTTCATGCTTATTGATGGGGAAACCTTAGCGGCCCTAACTTGTTAGACGAACCTGTAAAAGGCTTCATAGTGAACCCTGCCGACCTTCCTTGGTAGTGGGTCAAGAGGTTGGCCGCCTCGGGCGAAAGGGTAGATCATGACTCTCAGTGAAGTGTACAACCTCTACAGAATATAAAACTGGTATATCAGTCGTGCTCATGGTCACGAGCGGCCATGGACCCTTACGGAATAGATGAAGAACACGGATGATACCGATGATAAAGATGCTCACTAATGATTATTGATTATGCTATTCACTGTTCATGTTTACCTGATCATGTGTTTATATGGGCTTGTGAATAAACTTGTTGCTACTCAATTGCTAAAATCATGACTCATTAAAAGCTAATCGCAGTTGAACCAGTGTCAGCCTTTTGAGCCTCATGAACCCCATGTTATATTTGTTGAGTATGACATGTACTTACGCTTGCTTTATTTTTCACATATTTAGAAAAAAAATCCCGGATGGGTACCAGATTGCTAGAGTTTGGAGGAATTAGGCTTATGATCAAACAGTTAGTTGTCCCTGTGGATTGGAGTATTCACCCGAAGATCGGAGTTGTCTTTCCGCTGTTTGCTATTTAAGGTTATATTCTTTATACTAAGTACGTTATATATTGAGCATTGTCTATTGATATTACCCTTATTTGTAGATATATATGAGATTTGACTTCCTGGGCTCACATATGGTGTGTATCTAGTTTTGTTCTTAAAACCGGGTGCTACACCCACTCCCACTTGTCATCCACATTAGCAAAACCAACGTTGAAACTATCCAATATCCAAATATTAATGATTATTATGATAGTTTAATGGACAAAGATTTTCAGTTTTGGAGTTGGATGGCCAAAATAAAACCTTGCCTATAATTGGAAGGCCAAAATAAAAACTTTGCCTATAATTGAAAGGCCAAAAATAGCTCTCTAATATCAATTAATTGGGCTTAAAATCCAAATAAATCCAATGCAAAGAAAATCTGGAGCAACATCATGAGACCATTATAGTTTTTTAGGAGTTGGAGATCCTTAGATGGTTCTATTTCACAACCTTTCGTACTTGCTTCATGGAACCAAGGTCGAAAGGATTGAAAAGTCAGTCATTCAGAACCCCTGATGAAGGATTCCTCAAAAAGATAAGGATTAGTAGCTATTTTTTGAAATTCATTTCGAAAAAGAATTACTTCAATATGATACATATGTGAGAAAGTTAATAAATGAAGAAGTCGAGTTCTTCTTTCTTGTACCACATCGGAGCCATGCGAGATGAAGGTCTCATGCATGGTTTTGCATGAGAGAAAGAAGTGAGGAATCCACTTTTTGACTCTGACTACCCCACTCTAGTAGTTGCTTTTCTTTCTGTTACTTCGGAAGTAGCTCCTTAAGCTTGAGCCACGTGAATTATCAATATTCCTTTTTATTTCTCATCAAACCAATGGCATCTTCTAAAAATCCAAGCTATTCTTAGCATATCTATTTGCTATTACTCAAACAAGCATGGACATATGTTTTCATAGTAATTTTATCGGATAATAACTGTGCTCACATGGCTCAGAGCAATAGGGTAAAACTAAAGTTTCAATCTCCGTCCGGTTTAGTGATATTCTTGCACTTTTCAAATAGAACTGGAGTTTCTTGTGCTCTTCCTTCATCACAAAGAGGAGGCCTCACCATTGTCCTATGTCCAAGCTCCCCGTATCTGATCTCGTCGTTTCATTCTCTCTACATACATGTTGATGTCAAAGTCAGCTGTGTTTCTTCCTCCAAATATATACTCCAGTTTGTCGAGGTCAAAAATGTCGCCCATTATCTTCTGGCTCTCTGAATTGTTGTTGTACACAAATTTCACTTTTTCATTCATTCTTGGCTCTAGGAAGTGTTTCATTATCTACAAAAGAGCAAAACTGTTAAATAGGAATACTACAATCACAACAACTCAACAATGTGAGAACCAAATAAGGTGTTTCAGTTTATTGTTTTGGTTATTGATAAGTGCATGGACAGCATGATGCAGGACTTCTGAGTCCAACACGAGTAAATGCATAATAATGTTCAGTAACATATTCATCAAACAAACAATTGATTGTCGGTCGATTCAGTTTCTATGGCCTGGGTGGCTAGGTTAATATTGAACTTATATTGTAGGATGCTCAGTAACTACTATCTATATTATTGAGAGCTCTTTTTTGGTGTGGCTCCAGAGAGAGTTTCTGCTCCAGCTCCTCCTGGAGCTGTACCAAACGCCTACATGCACAAGCGCTCAGCCATGGAGCTGGCCGAGAAAATGAACTGGACGAAGAGTTGGAAATCATGGCTTCTCCAGTTAAGAAGGGCTGTGTTATCTGTGGGTGGATGCAAAAGGCAGTGATGGGGGCAAGTAAATAAAAAGTGAGGTTTTAAAAATTTGGAAGCAAATTCATCTAAACCATGTATCGGTTTATAAATCCATTTTGATCATGATGTAATATTCAGTTAATGTATGCAACAAAACAAGATCAACACATGAATATATTTTGATTTTCTGAAATATTAATATTTCTTATTTGGAAGTGGACCATTGGATTTTTTTGTTTTGCTTGATTTTTTTTTTCTTTATTCTGGTAACACCTTCTGTGCTAACACTTCCTACAGACATGATGCAAAATAATAAGAAACCCTGGACATTTACAGAAGAGAGAAGAAGTTGTTATGCCAAATGTTTTCCAAGAATCGGCCACGCTTAAGGGATGTCCTCAGCAACGAGAAACATGTGCTAAGGTGTATGTGTAACACATGAACGAACATGTGCTAAGGTGTATGCGTGACACATTCAGATCACGTGTTCAAACAAATAATAAATTTTCTAAAATATTCATGATCGGTACTCCCTCCGTCCAGAAAAGAATGCAATTATGGGAAACGTGCTAGTCAAACTATCCTAACTTTGACCAAGTATATAGTAAATAATATTAGCATTTATGTCTCAAAATAAATTTATTATTAAAATATATTCTATAACTAATCTAATGATACTTATTTTGTCTCATGAATGTTAATACATTTTCATATAATTTTAGTTAAAGTTGAAACTGTTTGACTTCTCAAAATGTGAGAATTACATTTTTTTTGTGGACGGAAAGAGTACCGTATACTAGATTCTATGATAACTGGAATTTATGGTTTCATTTAGTGCAAATCGAATCATCTAGAGTGGAAGAAGCAATTCCCCCACCAGTAACAAATGGTTATCCATTAAGTGGAGGAAATAGTAATAGAAAGAAAACCAAAGAGTTTCAGCTCCACTAGATAAACCACTTCTAGGAAGAAGGCAGAGCCGGAGCTATTCTAGGAGATAGATGTCTACCAAACCGGCCCAAAACTGTAGCTTTACAGTTCTCTCAAGTTTAAGTTCTAATTGGCAAATTAATCACACTACCACCAAAATGATTTTAGGAGACAGTCTCTGTGATTGATAGAGACAGACACATCAAGAGACCGTCTCCATAAATGGCCAGACAACCTCTAGGCAGATCTCTGCCTCTAAAAATCATTTACAGACATCCTAAGGCACACATCTTAACATGCATTTACACCTCTTTAAATGGCATTGACTGACATAGGCATATTAAGGGGCGGCATAGAGATGGTCACATGCATGTCTCTGAAAATGGGCGATTAATAGTGAGTATTTGCCAAAGGTGGAAGCGTTGCCTGCCTCTGTTAATAGAAAATCTCTGTCTTTGAAAATGCTTGTTGTAGTAGTGTCAGTAGAATATATAATTGTGTCCTACTATAGACGTAATTAAATTATTTGAAATTGAGAATGTTCTCTTCTAACTATCCTAATATGACAAAGTTTTTTTACAAGTTACTTGTGTCTAAGTTGAGGATGTTCCATCTTCCATGGCCGCATATAGTCAATTCCTTAGTTTCAAAGGATAATTATTTGTTTTCTTATCAAGTATGTCACTCAGAGTTACAAAGCAATATAATGCAGAAACATATAAAAATATGAATCGTACTATAAATTTTATGCACTAATAAGTTAACTTAAAATTTGACTAAGTTCTAGTAAAAATTTATATTTTTATTTAATTCTTAAAATAAAATATTAGATGAGACGATAGAGATGGTACATTTAGTGTTCATGAATACCTTCCAAAAGGATTCAAAAAATTTTGGTGGGTTGGTTAGAATAGCGACTGCTATCAATCCAGGATAATATTGTTGAATTATGTGTAATGATTGTCGGGTCAATGAAAATGGTGTACTTGATATTGTCCAGCCTTGGAAGTCAGAGATCCAAACAACACTCTCTTCTTCTGCATCTTCAGAATATATGAGCAGGTTTTCCAGGTTATACACTAGATACTTTAGATGATCCTTCTCTGAAGTTTTGGTCTGTTAGACAAGTGAGAGGTTAGTAAATGAGATGCTAAAATACAATTAAACAAAGTGGTTGAAAAGAACCATGTCCTTGTTTTACAACTATTTTTAGAGAATATAAACCTCATAGTCTTCAAATTACTACAGGGCATAGACACGAAACTCAATTTTTTCTTCACTACCACAAAATTTAGAACTTGTTTGGACATTTATATAGTCTCCAAATGAAAACCTGTTACCTTCTAAGATTTCTATTGTACAAAACAACAAAAGCACTACAATGTGTTTTTTGTACATATTTTACTCATACAATAATTGCTCTAGTTAAAATAGTTTGATTTCATATTTCCATCCATGGCGCCCTTCTTTTAACAAATTTTTATGTAAGTCAATACAGCTTCAAGACTAACATGTGAACTGTATTTTGTTTTTGAACGAGTATAGTGTCATGTATATTATGTATTCTAGTTACACTCGGACTTTATTTAATTAAATCAAATAAATTCTAATTAATACTCTTATTAAATGCTAGATGCAATGCAGGATTAGTCAGAATAAAATTTTGACAAAATCTTTACTCAACTTAAATAGCTGACAATTGTGTATTCATCTTCCGCGGATAATATTTCCATAGAAGAATCATTTCTAGGATTTTTAGATGCAAATGATGCTCAAGCTATTTCCTCGCTTACAAGGAGATTTGAACAATATCAGGATTACCAAAAGAATTTTGGTTTCTTATTTACTTCAGACTCACTGTGGTCATTGGACAGTAAGAGCTTGAAATCTTCTTGTGACAATCTTGAATCAGCCCTTAAAAGAGATGGGAAATTTGATATTGATGCCAATGAACTATATATAGAGTCGAGATTTCTTCAAGATTTGTTCCAAAAGAAAATATGGGTCCTCTTGAAATTCTTAAGTTTCTAAAGTGGCATGATTATTTTCCCAATGCAGCTATTGCATATAAAATTTTATTGACCATTCATGTGACTGTTGCATTAGCGGAGCGGAGCTTTTCTAAGATGAAGCTATTGAAGTCATACTTGCGTTCTACAATGACACAAGAAAGACTTAATAGTTTTGCTATGATAGCACTTGAGAGTGGATTGTTGGGGAAGATTAATTATGAGCATATTATTGAAGATTTTTTTTCAAAGAACACTAAAAGAATGATGTTATTCAAGTAAAGATTCTACAAACCAAGAGTTCAAAAGGTACTATTCTTGATATATGGCATTTGCTCTGCGATAAATACATTATTTTGGTTATATTTGGTACTTTGATTCAGGCCTCACTTAGAGCTTTGTACAGGCCTAGAAATCAGACGGCACGGCCCTGAACCTAACGACATCAATAAGATCACTATATTAAGAAGTGAAAACTGTGCCACCCCACCTAGGGTGTACCTCTGCAACTGACATTAATTTAATTTTTGTTCATATGATCAGTATAATCGTATTTATAGCTTTTGCGGATACATCCCATATACGCAAGCTTATCAGAAATATCTTGTTAATTTTTAGATTAAAATGACCCTAAATTTGGCTAACTGTTTTACACAGTATATGCTGTAAAAAATAGTACCACCCCATATTATTTAAATGGACAGGAAATAATTGTTTCATTACTCTGCAGGAATTGATGCTGCGGCGTATACTTGAAAAACTTGACCGTACCTTTATTGTTGGAAGTGTTACGAAAACCATTCTTCGGTTCTTGTCAAGGTAGTCAGGTATGTACGCTCTCTTTGCCTCATTCTCACTATCGGCAATGCTTTCCTACAATTGATTCCAAACAGAATGTTTGTTCTAACACAAGATTAAATGATTCATAGAAGCGTTTTTGCAGTTACTAAAGGCTATAAGATCAAGATATGCACCCAACGAATTTTCTCTGGCTTGTACTGACGTCTCCAACTGGTAGCTTCTTTGAGACTCTTAGTAGCTTTCATCGTACTCCAGTTTCTTGCTCGGAGGAACCGGCGGATAGTGGCATCCGAAAGGAAGTTCGGCATCTCTGTCGGCAGATCGCCAAGGAGCTCCCGGACCTCATTTATCTACAGGCTCAGAAGATCATAACTGTGAGGTGAGATGTAAGTCGCATTGTCACCGGCTTTTGGGCATACAAGCTGGTCATCTTCGTCAATACATATTTTTTAAGGAAAATTTGCTAGCAGGCCCTAAATTTATGCATGGGTATTATACCAAGGTCCATAACTCTCGATTATTTTTTATGTCTGAGTCCCTGAGCTGCACTGCAATGTCAGTCAGGTCTCCAACTCTCGAATTTTGATATTTCATCCTCCAAACTTATATAGCGGTGTCATCTGCCCCCGAACTTGCATGTCAACACATATATGGCGCTGCTTTGACATGGCAAATGTGTGTTGACATGAGAATTCGGGGGGCCTAGATGAAACTATTGTATAAGTTTAGAGATCCAAATACTAAATTTTGAGAGTTGGGGACTTGATTGCCATCACAGTACAAGTTCAACGACTTATTAGACAAAAATTTCAGAATTAGGGACCTAGATCACACCACATTGTAGGTTTAGATGAATTTTTCTCTTTTATTCACATGCTTATAAAGAGAGAACAATTCTAGTATGTGGTGTTAGAGGAGCGAGAATACTATGCCTCAAACCATGATGTAAAGGTGTGAGAATATGCAAATACAGTGTGTGTGAGGATATTTCTGCACTCACGCATTGTCATATTTAAGGGGTGGGTATTATTTGTTTCGGGATATAGGTTTAGCAGTTTTCTTCTTTCTGTACCAAAATTTATCATACTAAATAACCAAGTCATCCACCACCAAGACATCAACGCTAGATAAAAACACCGCACCAGGGGTGATGAGCTCTTCATCACTACCGGATCAAACGACAAACTAGCAGTGATGACCTAATCACTATGGGATCATATGTTGCACCAGCAGTATTGATCACTTCATCACCACCGGATCATACGGTAGACTGGCGGTGATGTCCACTTTATCACCACCAGATCGTACTAAAGTCGGCGGTGATGTCCACTTCATCACCGCCAAATCACACGCTAGACCAGAGGTGATGGAAACGACATCACCAACGGATCAAACGTCGAGCCATCGATGATGAGTTTTGACAATGAAATTTGGTTTAGTTGGGGAATTTTAGGAGCACGTCTCGTTGGTTCTTGATTTGAGAGCCGCTGCCCCACTCTTCTTCAGGTACCCTAGGATAGGAATAGGAGAAAACTAGAAATCGAGACTAGTGTGGGTTCGAAGGCATCTATGGCAGTCCAACTTTCACTATGGAGGATTGCTTTGATGTTGGTAAGGGTGATTTGTGGGAATCACATCTGTTCAAAATTTCACAAGGGAACACTTGACAGAAGGAAACTAGGAGACCATTAGGCATGTGCTCCTGAGATCCATGGCTCGATGTCTTTGCTACTGGTATCACAAGTGCTTAAAATTTGTGGGAATCACAACTGCTTAACATTTCACAAGTCTCGATCGATGTCTTTGCTACTGGTGTAAGTAGATTTTGTATTTGTTTAGAAGGAGTTGAACCACTTGCAATCGTTGTAATCAAACCATCATACATTTGGATGGTAGCAGTTGGGTACAGTAGCTGAACTCTGGGATGGTAGCAACCTGAAATGTATGTTTATTAGGAGGTTATAGTGGTTAGTAGATAGCCGACTGTTGTCCCAGACTCCTAGTGGTTAGAAGTAAAACATCTTGTTTGCAGTTAACTTCTATGACAAGAGGACTCATGGATTTGCCATTCATCTGGAGTCTATTCCACACAGTTCTTTACCAATTAAGTGATCAATATTAGGGGGATTCAGCACATATATCTTCTTGCCATTTGCTCCCTAAAATCCCATCCAGTGTGCATTTCTTTGTTTGCTTGCTTTCTAGGAAGAGAACACAAACTACAGATAGAATAAGTAGATGGAAAAAGATTGAGGACTTAACCTGCCTGTTCTGTACAGAACCTGAAACTCCACGTACAACACCTTTTCTCTGACTGTGCAGTACCTACAGAGATATGGGTGGTCCTATCTGCGATCGCTGAAGTAGAGTTTGGCAGTAACCTTGAAGCAATTGGTGGTTTCGCTAAGTAATAATAAGAAATTTGAATGCATCAGTATGCTTAGTTCGCCAACCTTATGGGGTCTCCGGAAACTAAACAATCATTGCTTTCAGAGAGGAGACGGATCAATACGTAGGTACTTTTCTGGAGGATTACAGGCTTGATCAAGAGTTGGGTCATCCTTTGCTCGACGGAGCAATCAGTAAAGCTGACAACCATCATCAAGAAGGTGCAAGACGTATCAAGCAATCATGGATGGATCACTGGGTAGCCTTGGTCAAGAACAAGAGCGTTTCGTAGTACATAACACTAAACAAGGACGGATGGGAGATGGAGCCCCAAGTGAAATGCTTGAATTCATGATGAGGTTGCCTGATTGGATTGACCTGGATCAGAAGGCTATGCGCCCAGACAAGCTGTTGTCCTTCTGATGTAGTTTTTGTCGTGTGTTTTTAAGTCGTCTAAACTTGTTGTAAACTCTGTGGGCATGGTAAATTTAGCTTGGGCATGGGCCTATAATGTTAAGTGGCCTCGTCTCTCGCTCGGTGTAAGACTAGGGTGCGTTTTTACAGGCAGTTTCAACGGAAGTTTCAAATCTCAGTTTCTAGTCTAGACTAATTTTCTCTCCATGAAACTATTTCATCATACGTATGAAACTTTTATCTATTTTTACTAATACAATGTCATGTCAGTATATTTAATGCCATGAAATTCTAATGAAACCCCTACTAAGACTTGGTCTAATATTCTAAAAAAGATTATCATCGTACTGCAGCTTTACAAATTACAATCCATGAACACTTAATTACCATATATGTATTACAAAAGATTATGATAATATTTACCATCATTGAGTAGTTAATCACTTGAATGGCACCGTACATCTTAGTGTTCATTTATATCAAAATTTTAAGAAGGCATTTTATTGCTGGCTATAAAATATTAATTAATTAATTTCCTTGAATTTTTTAAGCCATAATAATTATGTGATGCCATAGGTGTACCACACATGAATGTTAAAAAGGATTTGACTGATGAAATGGTCGAGTTAGCATGGCAGCTAAAGGAAATTAGCCTAATGATGAACCAATCTTTGCAGGAGACAGAGATGGTATTCCCTCTGTCCCAAAATAAGAAGTCGTTCTTGCTTACCGAGAAGTCAACTTTTTTTTAACTTTGACTAATTATGTATAAAAGAATATTAATATTTATAATATATAATTAGTATCATTAGATATATCGTTAAATATACTTTTAAAATAAACTTATTTGGAGATATAAATGTTACATGCATTTTCTATAAACCTAATCAAAGTTGAGAAAGTTTGACATGCACGTATCCCATAACGACTTTTTTTTTTTAAAGGACGGAGGGAGTATCTTTCTTCCATTTTGTCCTTTATACAGATTTCTTTTGTGTTCACACAATGGTTTATGTAGATAAAAGTTATATTGATACTACAACTTCAGCGTGCTTGTTGAGAATGTTCCCTTTTCTGCTGATGCAGATCCTTGATTCCGCAGAGAGTGCCGTTGATCACAGCTTGGCAAGAACGGCCTTATGAGCTTCCGATGCCTACTCGTTGGCTTTACTTCCAATGGCTGCTAATCTTTGTGATGACCTGCATGTTTGTAATGGTGGTTCTGCTCATAAGAATCACTTGAAGGACGAGATTGATGTGTGCAGCAGGCATTCAAATGTTCTAGGCACATTTGACTGTGTTTCATGCGCACTAACATGATGAGAAACCTTTCGGGCCCTTTCTTGGTCTCTAATAGTATTTTGTTTGTTTCTTCAAGTGGCTTCCAGAGTGTTTTGGTTAGTCTGTGTTAGTTTGATTTCCCATCACAAGGAAATAATATTCAGCATATCCAAGTAATACTAGTGCAGATGACCTGACTCTGCTTATCTGACTATTCTGTCAAATGATTGAACCTATAACAATGTTGCAGATCTCGTAGCCTTATCTGACTATTGACTACCACCAATCCACCATGGCAATTTATTCGGAATCAATGTTGCAGAATCGGATAAGGGAGCTCCTGTAGGCAGCCGTGCAAAGACGGCGGCCTCTGCCAGGGGGGTGGCGGCGAGCTCCTGTCGGGTGTCGGCGGATCTTGTATTCGGGGTTCGAGTTCCTCAAGACCACGTGTCAATTGGATAGAGCTAGGATTAGTTAATGTCTATTAGAAAAGGTACTAAACTGCCCTTAAGAATAATTAATTGATTTTTTTTATCAATCAACGGCTATCAATATTTCTACATAGAGGAACCACCGGTTCCTCCCAAGCACAGAAACAAATCTCATATTATGAACATAAAGCTCCATCTTAAAGGTATCATGGAATGGTACGTGGTAGCATGCTGGTTTAAGAGAAATGGCAGTACTATACACATTTGTTTTTTTCTGAAATCCTCGCATTCAAATTTGATTATTTTCCACATGTTATGTCAAGCAACGGGGACGACATACCATTCTATGCCTACCCGGGCTATAAGTAGATCCCGTAAACACGTACCAACAATCAGTCAAAATTTGATCTCAGAAATCAATTAGAAGCTAAGACGACTTTGCAGGTAATTTGACCTTGAAACCAGTTGCTGAGTGGCGTAGTTGCTGTCTTACCTTTCTCTGTTGTTCTTCTGAAGACGCTGGTATCAGCTGCGTTGGTTCACTCCTGCTCTTGAGCAGATAACTCATGGCAACTGAATTACTAGTTATGGGTTCCTGGTTATAGCTACAACGCAATCATGCACTAAAAAACATGTGGCAACCTTCTCGTGTATTTATAGAATTGCTCAGAAGTTATAACTGCATTTCCATGCCGGTGGGTAGCTGGTGGTTGCATCCTGTTCCGGCCCATAATATGTATAAACACGATGGGACGTTAGCATTGAATTCATTCTGACCGGCCGGCCAGCATCAC